AGACAATAGCTAAACTGTTTATTTCCTTTCTTTAAGGTTAATTAGTAATAAAGGTACATTTTTAACTTTATTATTTCTTTATTTTGTGAGCAACAGAGCAGTGTTTTATTTTTTTATTTTTTATTTTTTTAAAGAGAGAGGAGAGGGGGAGAGAGAGAGAGAGAGAGAGAGAGAGAGGGAATTTATTTATTTATTTTTAGTTTTTCGGCGGACACAACATCTTTGTTTGTATGTGGTGCTGAGGATCGAACCCGGGCCTCACGCATGCCAGACGAGCGCGCTACCGCTTGAGCCACATCCCGAGCCCCCAGAGCAGTGTTTTAAATGCTTAAGATTTAAATGTTTAAAATTGTTTTTTAAAAGAAAGGATACTGATTTAAAATTTAAAAAAATTTTGTTGGTACATTATGACTATACATCGTAGTGTGGGATTCATTATGCCATATTTATACATGCACATAACATAAAATGATCAATATCATTCTCTAGTACCTTCCTTTTCCCTCCCTAAACACCTCCCCTGATACACTTGTGCTTACTCTGAGACATTTGTTTTCAACACAAAGCATTATGAAACATTATAGTCCAGTGCTTTCTAACACATATATGCTTTGTGTAATGAAATGTATTATTCTAGTAGTAGTAGTAGTAGTAAGAGCAGCTCACATCCACTGAAATTTTATTATTGGCCTTTCAGGTAGGATTTTATATTTTCCTAAATTAGAAAAATATGAAATGGTAAAATCAGATGGTAAAACTGAGAGAAATTAAAAACGTATCCAAAGTCATATATTAAGTAAACCTTTTTTTTTTTTTTCCTGTTTGTACTAGGGATAGAGCCCACGGGCACTTTACCATTAAGCTATATCCCTAGCTCTTTTTTAAAAATTTTTGAGGCGAGATCTCCCTAAGTTGCAGTGGCTGACCTTGAACTTGGAATCCTTCTGCCTCCACCTCCCAAAATGCTGGAATTATAGCCATGTGCTACCATGCCCAGCTATGCAGCTAGTAAACTACTAATACATAACTGAAATCAAGGCAATTCAGCTTCTAGGTTCTTGTTATTATTTACTCAAAGTAAATACTTGACTGAACAGTATAGCATGGTCAGCTTCCATGTGAATAAACATACATCAAGAGCATTATCTCACCAGGCACAGTAGGACATGCCTATAATCCCAGCTCCTGGGGAGGCTGAGGCAGGAGGATTGAAAATTTGAGGTCTGCCTCAGTAATTTAGTAATAAACCCTGCCTCAAAAAACAAATTAAAAGGGCTGGGGATGTAGCTTATTGGTGGAGTTCACCTGGGTTTAATCCACAGAACCACAAACAAACAAACAGAAAAACAGAGAGGGTGGGGGGAGCATTGTCTCTCAATGGCAACACAGAATCCCTAAGGGTATAACAATTTATAAAACAGTCTTTATTTTAGATATATAATACCATGCCTGGCTCAAATTCTCAATTTCAGAAATTTGACCTGCAACCTCAAACTTTAGGTTGTTCACAGTTTTTTAGTGATCCAAATGTTACTTTGATAAATATCATCTATATATAATGTTGCATCTTTTTTATTTTCTTAAATTCCTATAAGACTCTTGAGTCACTGTTTTTGAAAACTTTAGACAAATTTTGGAATTGCCTTTCAGGAGAATGCAAATTTCTTCAACTGTCTAAATCTCTGATACTAGGACAATTGTATTTCATTGTTTCATAAGGTTAAATTCTTTTTCCTCCTCTTAGTTATTAGACAGTTATATTTCTTTATGTAAACTATCTGTTTATTTTCCTTATCCTACTTATTTGTGAAGGTATATTCATTTTTATTAAGAACACACACTCATTATATATTATGGTCATGAATTTTTTATCACACATAATGCAAATATTTACCAACAGGAGTTTTACATACAGATAAATTATCTATTTATGTGTAAAAGTCCAAAGAATATTCTCTAATAAAAAGGGACTCAAGAAATATAATTCAGTCTTTGTAAAAGCAATCAAATCTGTCTCTCAGTCAAGTGAAAAATGGAGCAAAATTAAGTCACAGTAGAGAAATCAGTGTCTTAATAAGGGATGATTTTTGAAAGTAACTCTTGGCAGTCTTTGGTTGCACCTCCAGAAATGCTTTATTTTATGTGAACCAAAAACCATTCCTGCTTTTCATCTGTATAAGTATGTAATGTTATTGAGAATTTTTTTCTTTATATGTGATGTTGTTAAAAAACAAATTCTTTCTTTTTTTTTCTTTTCTTTTCTCTTTCTCTCTTTCCTTTTTGGGGTTACTGAGGATTGAACCCAATCAATCATCTACCACTGAGCTCCATCCCCAGTCCTTTATTTTTTATTTTGAGACAGGGTTTTACTAAGTTGCTGAGGCTGGCCTTGAACTTGGGATCCTATTGCCTTAGCTTCCCTAGTTCCTTGGATTTTAAACATGCAACACCATGCCTGGCTCAAATTCTCAATTTCAGAAATTTGACCTATGTTTCACTCCTAACTAAAAGATAGGTTTTTAAAACCATTGTAATTATGGAACATGAAACGGCCAAAGGAGAGAGACTTTCCAATGTTTTTCAGTGGCCATCAAAGAGAAAATAAAATTTCTAGAAATTAATTTAATTCAAAAAAGTCCTTTATAATTTAAAGACATTTCATTTAAGTTATGAGTCTAATGCATCAAAAAAGTCTAGAACTTGATGTGATTTTAAATAACTTGATTTGAAAAGGAATTTATTGTAAGAAAATTATATTTAAGTAGAGACAAAGACCTTTTTCCCCTTCTTTTTTTTGGCTCAGAAGGAGATGAGAAATGCTATTTCAGGGACAAGATTACCAGCACAGGGGAACCCTTTGGCAGGAGGATAAATGGCTTTGGCAGAAGGCTGCCCTCCCAAAGAAAAAGACTTCAGCTTATTCTAAACCAGGGTGTGGTGATGCATTCCAGGCACAAGGGATACCCCTGCTAGTGGGGTGGGCCAGGCAGGTGCTGCTTGGAAATACAAGCAGAATTTCAACATTCTCTCTCCTTTGTGGTGGAAACACAAACTTCTGGAAGTTTGCAGAGCTGCCTCATTAGAAACGAGTTTTGAGATCCACCCCTTGCCCAGATCTCTAGGGAGGATGAGTTACTGTTCCTAGGAAGTAATTGTGTTAGTAAAATATTACTAAGGCTTACAATGTTTTCCTTAGCCTCCAATAAAAATAAGTTATTATTAATAATAATAATTAATAAACACATTAAATGTAAATACTATAAACCGAGGTTATTTTTTGATACTTTCCCTTCATTTGCCAAAAAATAAACCATTTGTATGTACATCCACAAAACTGAATTTGAAGGAGATTCTCATCTTTAATTTTAAAATGCTTTCAAATCCTTTTGTAGTGCTGCATGTACAGAAAATACCATGCACTCATTGTATTTCTGGAGTAGGTGTGGTTTATGTATGTATTCAGCCTACCTTTTCTAATTAAGGAAGTTGCTATCTGTTTGAATACAGTTCTGGCAGGACGGTGACAAGCCAGCCATCCCATCCGTGTGTAATTACATGTGCAATTATGTGTGGTGTTGCTGATTTGGAGTGCTTGGATGTGATATGCATAAAGTCGTAGCAAGGCCATCAGAAATCCGAATCTTTGTGTATCCTTTTCCCTTTGATTCTGAATGAATAGCAATAGAAATAGTGGGTGGGGTGGTGGCAGAGATCCCTATACACATTCCTCCAGATACAGAAAATGAAAGAGCTACTCCAAAGCAAAGTTTCTTTTTACAGTCAACAAACCTTTACTGAGTATTTGCTATATGCCAGATGTTCATCAAAATCAGCTCCTTCTTGCTAAAGGTTTTGTTGTTCTCCTCCCTTCCCACAATCTCTGCAGACACAGTCCTTATTATGTTAAGGTCTGGATCATTCCCTCATTAAGACTCCCTGTCCTGTGTACCCCCTTCCTTGAGGGACTTGCAGGTGGAGCTTTATTGGTAATAACCTGCTTATCATCCAATAAATAAGCCCCAAGATGGACATTTTAGAGAAACAAAGAAGAGATTATATTATGAATATTTCTTATTTATTATAACCTGTGAAAATTTTAATGACTAGGTATTTATTATTCTATGTGTGCCTCAATTTCTTAATGTTCATCCCACTTGTTGGATGTTTAAAATCTTTCCTTTTATTTCTTCCTAATAATGATAAAATGGACATCTCTGTTCTTCAAACTTGATTCCCAACCTGATTTATTTCTTAAGGGTAGAATTACTAAGTCATAGCTTATGAACATTTCTAAGATCCTTAATTATCTCACCAGACCACTTTTCAGTGTGTTTGTTGCAACTTAGTCTCATTGAATGTGTATTTAGTGTTCCTCTCATGCCACCCTAACCCTCATTGAAAAATGAAAACTTTGAAAATCTTCACTGATTTTTTTTGTTTAATTTTTGTTTTTCTTATTACTAGTGAGACAATATTTTTCATGTGCTTATTAGACATTTTTAGCTTCTCTTTCATGAGTTCTCTGTTTATGTCATTTGCCCATATTTCTGTTGGAGTTTGTGTTTTTCTTATTCAGTTGTATGAACTTACTACATACATATTAATGATGTTAATAATTTTGTCTTTTTTATCATATTTGGGCTAGAATTCTTCCAAGTATATTATTTGTAGTCATATTATCACTGACAGAATTGAACTTTTTAAAAAATGAGGTCAGTTTATATTGTTTTGTACAGAAGGTAGTTTTCAATGCTTAAAAATTAAGAATATACACCTTAGAGATAAGTGTAGAAAACATCTGTTTCAGAGCTTGGTCCTACCACTTAATGCTTCTGATATTACCATTACATTCTTAACTTCATGTAAGGTGGTGTGCTCATTACAAAATTATGAGACCAAGCATTTGAGACAGGTATCGAGCTGTTTTTGAACTGACTAGATTCAAGATAAAATTCTAGCATTCCCTCATTCACCTACTTCAATTTTCTCTAACTCCACAGGACCTGAATGGCAGCCCTCATATGGTCTCTTTTTCCTTTTAGACAATTCTTCCTCACTTCAGGAAGATGAGGAGGTAGAGATGGAGGCCATCACTTGGCAAACCAGCAGTCCAGCTATGAACGGGCACCCTACCCCTCCAGTGACCTCTGCTCGTTTCCCCAGCTGGGTCACTTTTGATGATAATGAAATTAGCCTCCCTTCTCTACCAGTCACCTCTCCTCTGAAGCCAGATATACCATCTATTACATCTGTGGTCCCAGATGCACCTTTTAACTCAACTGGGTCAGTTAAGAGGGATCGTCCCAAGAGCACTTTGATGAACTTTTCCAAACTTCAGAAGTTAGACATTTCCTCCTTAAACCGTCCACCTTTCATACCTGAGGCACCACCTTGGAGGGCAACCAATCCTTTCTTGAATGAGACTTTACAGGATATACAGCCCTCTCCTATCAACCCTTTCAGTGCTTTCTTTGAGGAACAGGAGAGGCGTTCCCAAAACAGTTCCATTTCCAGTACCACAGGCAAAAGCCAAAGAGATTCACTCATCGTCATCTACCAGGATGCCATCAGTTTTGATGATTCAAGCAAAAGTCAGTCACACTCTGATGCTGTTGAAAAACTTAAACAGCTCCACATCGATGATCCTGATCATTTTGGCAGCACAACACTACCTGATGATGACCCAGTAGCCTGGATTGAGCTAGATGCTCACCCGCCTGGGCCAGCTTTGTCCCAGCCCAGGGATGGGTGGCCAATGATGCTGAGGATCCCGGAGAAGAAAAACATCATGTCCTCCAGGCACTGGGGACCAATCTACATCAAACTAACGGACAGTGGTTACCTGCAGCTCTACTATGAGCAGGGCCTAGAGAAACCATTTCGTGAGTTCAAGTTGGAGATGTACCATGAGGTGTCCGAACCCCGGCTTCAAAACTATGATGAGAATGGTAGGATCCACAGCCTACGGATTGACCGAGTCAGCTACAAGGAGAAGAAGAAATACCAACCCAAACCTGCTGTGGCCCACACAGCAGAGAGGGAACAAGTGATTAAGCTGGGTACCACCAGTTATGATGATTTCCTGAGCTTCATCCGTGCAGTTCAGGACTGTCTCATGGATCTGCCGGTGTTATCAATGGACCTGAGCACAGTTGGTCTGAACTACCTCGAAGAGGAGATCACAGTGGATGTCAAAGACGAATTCTCTGGCATTGTGAGCAAAGGAGACAACCAGATTCTCCAGCACCACGTCTTAACACGAATCCACATTTTGAGTTTTCTCTCTGGGCTCGCGGAGTGCCGCTTGGGCCTTAATGACATCCTTGTGAAAGGAAATGAAATCGTTTCCCGGCAGGATATAATGCCCACCACAACCACAAAGTGGATTAAGCTCCATGAATGCCGTTTTCATGGGTGTGTGGATGAGGATGTGTTCAGTAGCTCTCGGGTTATTCTCTTCAACCCTTTGGATGCGTGCCGGTTTGAGCTCATGCGGTTCAGGACAGTGTTTGCGGAGAAGTCCTTGCCTTTCATGCTCAGGACCGCAGCCAGTATCAACGGGGCAGAGGTGGAGGTGCAAAGCTGGCTGAGGATGTCATCCGGTTTCTCCTCTAACCGTGACCCTCTCACCCAGGTTCCCTGCGAGAATGTAATGGTGCGTTACCCAGTGCCCAGTGAGTGGGTGAAAAACTTCCGCAGGGAAAGTGTCCTTGGGGAAAAGTCTCTGAAAGCCAAAGTGAATCGGGGGGCAAGTTTTGGCTCAACTAGTGTCTCTGGTTCTGAGCCTGTCATGAGAGTAACACTGGGAACTGCCAAGTATGAGCATGCCTTCAACGCCATCGTGTGGAGGATAAACCGGCTGCCTGACAAAAACTCAGGTAGGTCAGGGTTTCTCTTCTGTGGAAACGCCCATATGCTCCCTGAAAGCTGGGATCACCTTCCATATCTTCATCCTGTATCAAGTGCTTGCTTTTGTTGTGTGGTGGGAATGGTAATGAATGGGGAGGGGCACCAGAATAATTGAAATATTTGTGCAAAATAACAAGCATGGTGACCTAGTTCACTCCATCTTTTCAGCTCCTTGTTATCATAAATCTTCCATAAAAATATGTATTACTCTGCTCAGCTAAGCCGATAAGCAGCTTTCCAAGGAAGCTTCTGAATGTTTATTCTTTTGGGACTCATTAAAGTATTAACTGTGGTGTTAGAAGCAGTCCATTTCCAGATCCTACCTTGGAAGGCTTCTGGGTTCTGAAGAGGCATCTTTCTAGCTGTGCCCTGGATGTAGGTGAAAGGGCCAGTTTGTAGCCAATCATAATTACACATGAAAAGTTAAATTTCTGAGCTTCACTCTGTGAAGCCTGTCAGTCAAAATATCTCAAACTCAAAGTTTGGCTCTGGGACTTTGGGATGGGCAAGAAGGGAAGTGGGCTTCCAATCAGACTGAAGATCCAGCCAGAGCATGAAGGTCCATATGAGCCCAAATTTCATCAGGCATGAAGTAAAGCAAGGAATGTTTTATTTAAACAAACAGAAAGCATACCAACCCTAGCTGGCCTGCTCCCAGCTGTGGGGGATGCTCTTGTGCTTGATTGAGCCCAGAAGGCAATTACTTTCCTTGTTGGTCCAGAGAGATTTAGTGACATGACAAAACAAGGCAGCAATCAAACCAGCTCTAATAGCTTTCTTTCTTAGAGTAGGCCTGGGTGACCCCAGTGGCAGGAACAAGCTCATGATCCCATGAGCCTTCAAACCATTCTCTTCTTGTTTGTAATAAATTGTGCCCATCTGTTAACAAAAGTGGATTTGCTAGTGGAGCAAAAAGAATAAGCTTTGGGGAAACTCCTGATTGATATGTGTAGCTATGCTTTCATCCATTTTCACAATTAACTCCTAACTGTGTATTCAGAGTGTTCCTCTCCTGGTCAGCAGGTGGAGTGGCTATGTTACCATATCCTAGGTGCAATATGACATGATAGCAAGAAGCAGTACTGTCGGGAAACTCCTCAGGCAGCCCAGAGAGCTGGTGCACACCAGGCACTGTGTGTCAGACACTGGGTGTAGCAGTGCAATCTGATGAGACAATAGGGCTTCTGTTGTTTGAGGCTGGGTTTGCTACCCTCTATTCCTAAATTGACAGAATTTCTAAAACAAAGTCTTCCTCTCTTTGCTTGCTTCTTCACTTCTCTTGAAGTCAACACCGTGTTCTCCTGGTGAACACTCTGCAATTTCTATGTCAGCCATAGACTCGCAACTTTCCAGGGAAGTAAAAACACTGAATCCCCCCAGACACAAAAGCCCTGGGGAAGAGAGCACAGTGGAATTACTGCACTTCCAAGCTGGAAGGGACCATGGGGAACTCAGCCAAACCTCTTCATTCTACAGATGAGAAATTAAGGCCCTGGAGGTGATGTGACTCATCTAAAGTCTCACAACCACATCCAGGGCTCTTTTGTCAATACCACAGTTCCCACTTACATGGCAATAGATGAAGCCAAACAGACACAAACTTGAAATAATTTCTGTTATAAGAACAGAGATTCGCAGTTTTCTCAATGCATACAAGCATATCTCAAAGTGATTTAAAACATTTAAAAGTACTGTATAAGGGTTTTGATTATAAGCAACAAACACTGACCTTAAGAGAAGGAGAGGGAGGGAGGAATGAAAGAAATAAGGAAGGAAGGAAGAAAAGAAAGAGAGACAGGCTGGATGAATATGAATAGTTCAGAGAACTGAAGAAAAGTTTGAACAGACAGACATCAGAAAAGGCAGCTCTGGAATAGCCCTCATAACTAGTGGATTTCTCCTCAGGGTGCAGCCACTGGGACAAATGGTCACCACCATTTTCTGTCTCATTGCCAAGTGGATCCAGGCGAGGCGTGTCCAGGGCATTTTGACTCATCTAAGCATCAAGCTGATATTCAGCAGCAGGGAAGATTATTTCTCAAAAGAAGAGAAAAAAAAAAAAAGATTGCTACCAGAAAAAGGTGGAAATGGACACAGGACAGGGACAAAGCAATATAGGTCTTCAGCAAACATTTTTCTTAATGCTTCCCAGTGGAAAATATTCAGTAGCTCAAAGCCAAGTAAATGCAGCAAGTATGTTACTAGTTTACTAGAACCTTATTTGTGGGAGATTTTTAACATACAGGACAGCATAAGGATATTTAAAGATGTTCCTTACCTAAACCCCTGACACCATGCTTTTTCTATCGTGGCTATATTATAATATTTTTAGTAGTGACCCCCAATAGAGACTTCTTGTACTACTTCTGGCCCATGGTATGTTTCTGAACCCATTCAGGAAATTAATAGTACTCTCTTCTGGAAACAAGCTATATACGATCTATGCCCTGATTAGACTGCAATTTCCTACCATAACTGGAAATCACTGTGCCCAGCCCTTGCCCTCTCATCCTATGCTCCATCCATGAAACAAGAAAACTGATGATGATCTATTAGTAATAGCCCCATTTTCCTGAATTCTTCTATCTAGGTGTTAGTCTTAGCAAATCACCTTTTAAGTTTTTTTTTGTTTGTTTGTTTTTTTAATGACTTCCACCTCCATTTACAGGAGCCCAGCAGAAGTCAAAAGGCCCAGCCGGCTGAGAGGCCTGAACCCCTCCACACACACTCCTACCTACCTTGGCCCTGCTTCTGCATCCCACAGTTGGTGTGGCAGGCAGACTACAGGTAGCATGGGCCAGCAAGTGTGCAGCCACCGTGGGCTTGTTCTCTTCTTAGCCCCCAGGAAACCATGTAGCTGCTTTTGAATTCCATACTGCTTCCAACCAGCAGGGCCCAGCCAAGTGCACAAACCCAGCTAAATGTTCCAAGGATTCCTCCCACCAAAATCTCAACAGTTTTTTCTTAATCTTAGGAGATGCTGGAAATAAGTCCTGCTTACTCCACAGGTCTCACAAGAGGAAATAAAGCATTCTATCCTACATAGGTAACTTTGCTGGAATTCTAGTTCTCTTTAGATCAGGTAAAGATAAAACAATTCCAATAAGAATAAAGCCTTTTGGGGGAAAAAAAAAAAAAAAAACCCTGAAGTTTAATGTTACATTTTCTCATTTTCATCAAGGAAAATAACATAATGTGTAGGCTTTTTTTTAGCTCATTACTGTGAATTAAACTATACCAGTTTTCAAATTACACTTAAGTGTCCACCAGCCTCACACATCTAATAATGGAGGCGAGGAATCTAGGAAAAGGTGTTGCTTTCAGAGTTTGCTGTGAAAGGAGGGAGTCACTTTTGTAAAAGAAATGAGTTTTCAGTATTCCAACAACATGCAAATAAAGGTAAATTAGATAAAAACAGTTAATCAAGTTCTTAGAAAGAGATTCTTTCTATGTATGTTGTATTTTCTAATTCTATAGCAGCATATTGAGAAGAATTTAGGGCATAATTTGGAGTCAGAGTCAGATCTGAGTTTGATTCTCAGCTCTACTGCTTAATGCGGTGTGACCTCAGGCAATGAATTTAACCTTCTCAGAGAAACCCAATTTTTCTCATCTGTAAAATAGGGCTGTTAATACCTAGCTCATTCAGAATGAAATTAAGATAAATCTTTTTTAAATGTTCAGCACAGTATCAAGTCTGTAACAAATGTCAGTGAATGATAGCTATATAATTACATCTGTGGTACACAATTAAGAAGATATATGTAGATTCACTTTCAAATAATGTAATTTCTACAATTACATGTATCTTATTTAAATTCCTTTCCTAAAAACCAGTGCAAATTTTTCAGTTAATTTCCCAAAGTCTTACTCTTTACAAGTTACCATTGAATTAGGTTACATTTATGAAACAGCAAAACAATACTTCACTCTGTAATGTTTTCCTTGGAGAGTAGGTGTGTACCTTCTTAATTTCTGAGTTTGAAAGTCCTATCCCGCCCAGTAAAAAAGGGGGGGGAGGGAATTGTTTACTCAGGGACAATGGATAACTAAGGAGATGTTTCAGTTACACCATTAAGTCAACTAGAAAGCTCAGGCATTTTCTAGCCATGACCTTGGACAGCTCACTTTGTTTCTTGGTCTGAAAGTGAGGATGATATTATGACTTCAAGGGTTTTGTTGTGAAGATTCAGTGAGAATACCTGTGGAAAGCACTTAGCCTCCTGCAGGCACAGGGCATTCAACAATCATTTCCTGCTATGCTTGAAGAATGGCAGAAAGCTTGAAGGGTTAAAGTCATAGAACTAAGCTCTAATTCCCCCCCCCCAAGTCTAATAATAATTCTCAAACAAAAATCAAATCCTTAATTTGCCATCCAAGTATAATTACATATAGACTTATAGAATTGGAGCAGCAAGGGGCTGTGCCTGGCATACACCAGCCCACCCTTTTGTTATCCCTTCCATCTCTCCCCACTTTACAGTTCAGGAATTGAGACCTGGGGAGAACAAAAGACTTGGGTGTGGACTCTATGCCACTTGCATTGCAGCTGTAAGCCAATGCATGGTATTCTGATGTGGATCAGTTATTCTGAGGTGTGTACCACACTTTCCCTAATACATGTGTGCTGTCTATAAGGCTTTTGTCACATATGTCATTCACCCACAGAAATATGCTAAAAGCCTTTTTGAAAATATGAAATGGTATTAAGAATAGTCAACTCATCCTTCAAAGGAAAGCAATGATTTTGCTCCAGGTGGCTGTCATTGATGTTTTACTATGTGCTAAGTGCTGATCCCTTTTATTCTATTCTTTCAATCTACAGCCCCTTTTAGTTTGTACTGCATCCACATATCACCCTGATCTATGCAGGCAGAATGGTCTGTTTCTCAGGCTATGGGTTTTATTGATAGGATACTGGGCAGTGGTCATTAGACAATGTTTTATCAAATAGTCTAAGGCATACAGAGCCTGCAGCAGCAAATCCTCCAATTAACACTGAACCATCTGTAAGACTGCCAGGTGCCCAGCCTACTGGTCTCCTTTGTTACTGAGGTAGCTCTTTGACCTTTTTAAAATTTTTTAAATTCATCCCCAAAGAACCTGACCTGGATTCTTTCTTTCATAGCTTCTGGTCACCCACACTGTTTCTTTTGCCACCTTGAACTTGGTTCTGACCGGGAAGTGCCTTCCAGATTTGCCAGTCATGTGGATGTTGAGTTCAACATGCCCACAACTTCTGCCTCCAAAGCCGCTGTGAGATCCATCTCCGTGGAAGATAAGACTGATGTCAGGAAGTGGGTCAATTATTCAGCACATTACAGCTACAAGGTAGCCTTGGGAGGGGTCTGCCTGATGTTTGCAAGCCCATCTCTTAACACTACTACCCTCCCCCTCCTTAATCCTTTTAGCAATGCTTACTGTTGTGCAGAGTATGCTCTTAGCATTCTAGAGGAAGTACACATACATAGCTGTGGATGAGTCTGCTCTGATTTTAATGAATGATCTCTTGTGAGCAAGACAAAGGTTGGAAAAAAATAAAGGGGCTGTTTACAGAGGAGAATGCAATGTCTCTGTCCTTGTGAATAACAGCAGTAGAAAGAACAGAGGGCCTGGTGTGGTAGTGCACACTTGTAATCCCAGTGGCTTGGGAAGCTGAGACAGGTTCAAAACCAGCCTCAGCAACTTAGCAAGACCCTGTCTCAAAATAAAAAATAAAAAGGGCTGGGAATGTCCTCAGTGGTTAAGTGCCTCTGGGTTCAATCTCTGGTACCAAGAAAAGAAGAAGAAGAAAAAAGAACAGTGGGTGTAAATTTATTATTATATCATTTGTAATATAGTTTGTTGCAGAATAGTGAATGTGGAAGCAGAAGGGAGTTATCAGGAACTTGTCTGACCCTAAACACATTTCATCAGCATGAGCTGATGAAGTGGATCAAAACAAATTTAAGACACATATGACCTGGGCACTGGGCTGTTACAATACAGCAAATTTCTACAATGGTATTAGGATCCAGGCTATGGAAGGAGTAATAAAAGTTGTTGTTTTAAACAAGGATTTTGCAAAGTAGTTTAATAATTTCCTATTCACAATGATACCCTTACATTTATATGGTGATTTATGATTCCTCTGTTTCCTTAGTTGTGTGGTCTAAAACATTTAACTACCCAAAAGAACAAATACTCCATCTTGTGGCCAGGAAAAAAATAGCATTTTCCTCAAGCATGACCCTGTGCTGTCTTGAATCATTACCCTCCAAATGGAGCGGTATACTGAGAGAAGCAACCTTAATTATGAAATTCCTGAGCTTGAGGGATTCCCTGCCTGACTTATCAAAGGCTTCATTTGAAGTGTGTTATTTTCAAGTGGAGATTTATTTATTGAACCCTTTGAAAAGACAGCATATTTTGCAGAAGATATGGTAGAACTATAAACACTTCACTACTTCTAGTTTGGAGGCTTTTAAAGTGGTAAAATATTTGGAAAGGTTTAAAGAATCAGTTACAAAGGAATTTATTTATTTGATAAACATTCATCAATTGCCTCCTGTTTTTCTATATTATTAGATAAAATGGTGAACAAGATCTTGGCCCTGTCCTGTGGAGCCAGACTAGTGTATGAAATACAGTAGAAATATTCATAGGGGAAGTACAAAAGTCTGCTTAATGAGTCCAGAACACAGACAATCTTTGAGTAACTATGCATGACAAACAATAAGAATTTTTCAGGTAATCCATGAGGAAGAGGGAATTTCAGATCATGTGAAGAACATATGCAAAGCGAAAGTCATGATGATACACTAGGGCCAGTAGCTCCAACATGGATAACCTGACATTAGTACAATTACAAGGAATCCTAAAAGACACTACCAAGATTCTTTTTAGTTTTTGTGCCCTTCCTTCTTTCCTTCCTTCCCTCCTTTCTTGTTATTGTTTTGTTTTGATGTTTTCTCCAATTTTTATTTTGGCAGGTGGAAATTGAACAAAAAAAGAGTTTGAAGCCAGACTTTGAAGGAGATGAAGTAGACAATCCCAAGGAGTGTGGGATACAGTGACAAAGCCTTCAGTGAGGAACCTGATCCAAGAGTCATGACAGGGTGTCTTCCTGAATAGCTGAGGTTTAAGTCAATACCTGCTGTGGCCACTCCATGCTGGGAACAGTCCATCCGATCTTCTCATTTACAGTCACCTGTATTTTAGCAGGAACCCTGAGGTGGCTGCTGTGGAGAGAGGCTTGTTGAGTCTGACCATACCTGAAGCACATGGTTCACCTGACTTTTGGAGCTTACTGTGTAATTGAGCCTCCTTGTCTTTTTTCTGCTTATATCAGAGCACTGGCTTATGGTTTTTTGTGACTGTTAGAGTCTGTAAAAGAACCTCCAACATCAGTGTTGGCATGATTTCTTTCTGATGTTCATCTGCCACTCATGAATTTCTGAAAAAAGTAAAAAAGCAGTCTTAAGAATTCATATCTGTCACCAGGCACAGTGACACATACCTATAATCACAGTGACTCAGGAGGCTGAGAAAGGAGGATCACAAGTTCGAGGCCAGCATCATCCATTTAGTGAGGCCCTCAGCAACTTAGTGATACCCATCTTAAAAAATAGAAAGTGCTAAGGATATGGCTCAGTAGTGAAGTACCCCCTGGATCAATCCCTAGTATCAATTTTTTTTTTTTTTTTTTTTTAGTATCTGTCACTTCACTCCTCTAGAAAAGGTTCAGAAAATGTTCACAACAAATTTCTTATTTGGGTCTACTAGACCTTTCATAGAAATCTCCATTCTTTAAATGTTAACACTATGCAACAGAAATTTTTCAGATTTCCTCCTGGTTCTAGATTGTTTAGATTGAAACACTTTTTCCATTTCTCTTGAGATTTCAGTCAAAGGATTTGCTGTCCTAAATTACAATAGATAATAGGAAAAGGCCTATTAGGATATATTTTTATTCTGTGATTGGACCTACATTCTGCAAATGGATTGGACTAGATTTACATTCTGTTGAAGGGAAAGCAAAATTGAACTTATTTCCTTTCTCCTCATTCTGACGAAAAGGGACATTAAATTTAAGATTATATACATATCAGGAGACACTTTCAATCTCATTAAATTCCCAAATTCACACTGAAAAATACAGGCCACTTCTGATTCTTGAAGCAACATACACACACACGCACGCACACACGCGTGCACACTCTATACCTCAGGCAGTTGTCAGGGGCATTTGGGAGTTCTTTTTATACCTTCGTAGCCAATATACTGTTACATGGCTCTTCAGCTCACTTAATAGGAGATTTAAGCTGAAAAGATAATTTTAAAGATTGAATGAGCTTTCCCACAAAATTCAGAGTTTGATAATCACAGTATTATAATAGATCAAAAATGCAGAAAACTGTAGGGTAAGGGTGGGGAAAAGCCATATTTATCAATGTTGTGAACATTAAATCCTGATTCTAAGAGTCAGGACATTCTGCCTTCTTTTCCTGCTTACCTCTGTTTCTTATTTGTACCTTGGTGTTTTCTCTCATGAAGAATGGAGTGAGGGGACAGAAAGTACACTTTTATCAGCTTTGTACATAATAGAGAAATAAATAATATCTCCAGTTTTGGAATGACCAATTTCAGGACTAATTTATTCAATGAATATTCATTGAATTCTAACTATGTACTGATAATAGGTTATAAAAATTGTTACAATATTTTAAAGTATCTAAGCACAGGAGTGAATCTATAAAAGAATGAGTTGGATAGGCATTAATGAGAAACCCTTTTTTCTGAGTTTTTAAAATGCAACCCTTTAAGTATAGAGTAGAATACCATGTGAATGTGTGTGTTTATGTGTGTGTTCATAAACAAGGTCATTAGGAAGACATTTCTGTAGCTATTCATGTAAAAATATTTTCTTAGGGAAATGATAGTTCAGTTTTGAATTGGGAGAATACTGTAGCGATTCACAAAACTAATGCATTCAACCTATGTCAAATGAAGTTTAGAAAGTTCTGCAAGATGTATTGGTCAGTACACATCTGGATGGAGGGCTGGGTTCAATTATAGATACTGTATTTTAAGAGAGGCATTAATAACTTGATTGTCCACAAGCAGGTGATCAGGGTTGTGCAGAGTCTGATTATATAAGAAATAGGGGACTAGCTACCCTGAGGAACAGAAGATATAGCTGGGAAGGGAGTACAGGGAAGGAGGGAATATTATAATAGCTGCCTCAAAATTTCTGTTGATCTATAAAAAGAGGAAATAGATTTGTTTTGTGTAGCTTCAGAGGGCAAAAATAAGAATAAAGAGGAACTTTACAGATAAAAGATGTCTGCTTTAATATAAGAAAGAATTTTCTAAGAAAAGTTGTTCTAAAGAGGAATAAACTCAAGTGTAAAATTTCCTGTTGCTGCCTATGCCCAAAGGTTATAATAACCACCTATCCTGGGTGCTATGAAAGGGACTCTCACATTTAGATTTGGGTTCGATGATTACCAAGATCCCTTCTAAATAGTCTCAATAGGAATAAGTCTCTAATTCCAGTGATCTTTTCCTTCTTACATGTTTACATGTTCTTTAGAATATAGCAGAGCCCCCAAAGGGCTTTGTCAAGGGATTTCAAAGCATATCCTTTCCCTGGTTGTACTAAAGGAACTTAAGATTCCTAAGGAGTCTGCTTGGGTTGGAGAGTTGGCAAGATGAATAAGAGCGTCCTCACCCGTTCCTTACCAAGCTGAGCACTGTGTCCAGATCCCTGCCTCCCTGCTAGCAGAGCATGCAGATTGCTTGATGGATCTCAGCCCTATCCCCTTGGCTAATTCTCATGCCTTCTTGCTTTCACCTGGACTGTGATTTCTAACCAAAAGTTGGGAAATCCCTTCCATGCTTTCTTCATTCAAGCCAGCCATTTATTACTAATTTTTAAAAACATAACTACCTTGATTTCATCAAATTTTTTTGGCCTCTGATTAAAATCAGAGGGAACTGATTATGGGTAACATTTCAGGGGTTGGGAGATTCAATACAATATATTTTTAGTGTTTTACTAATAACTTCCATAAACACGGCTGGGCAAATTACCTTTTTGATGTGCAAATTGTTTGTCACTGTGGACCTGGTTGGTTTTTTGTTTGTTTGTTTGTTTTGTGTGTGTAGGGAGTTACCAAAAAAATCCTGGTCTATTATCAAAAATGTGAAAATATTAAAAGTGAATTTATTTTACCAATACATAGTGTTACAATAGAACATAAATTAGATGTCACATGACATCAATAGCTGTACTCGCTTTCTAGGGCTTGCTTTTCAACTACACAGTAAAAGAGGGCACAAAATGTATTCATTATGATATGTCAAAGTGGGGAGACCATTCAACCCCCTTTGGTTGCTCTTATAGACATAGTAGTTATTCCTTATCAAAAGTTTGCACTTTGTTCATATTAAATATCACCTGGACAGTTGTATTGTGCTTTTTTACTTTCTGTTTGGTTCTTCTTTTATTCTCTACCTTCCTGAATTATTATTAGGGCTCCTAATCCTTGAGAACATTTTTTAATTTAAAATATTTCTTGTTTGAAATGAGACTAATTTTTATTCAAATCCTGTGGTTAGGAGCGAAAGTTTATTTCCCTAGAAACCCAAGTTCCTGAGAAATGTGATGTTGAAGACAAGGAGCACATCTTATTCTTTTTGTTTCCAATAACTAGCACAAAGCTTGGAATTTAATAAGGTTCAGCCACCTTAAATCTTTATTGATAGGGCAAACATATTCATGAAATAAAAGGAAGTTATTTGATATTTAATAAATGTTTGTCAAAAGAAAACTTCCCCTGAAACTCTAAGGCTACCATCAAATACTCATATTAAAGCAAACAAGCAGCTTTTATTTTCTGGAGGATTTAAATAATTTTTCTTGCCAGGCGCGGTGGTGCATGCCTGTAATCTCAGTGGCTTGGGAGGCTGAGGCAGGAGGATCATGAGTTCAAAGCTGGCCTCAGTAAAAAAAGTGAGGTGCTAAGCAACTCAGTAAGACCCTGTCTCTGATAAAATACAAAATAGGGCTGGAGATGTGGCTCAGTGAGTGCCGTGACTGCCCGAGTTCAATCCCCAGTCCAAAAAAATAATTATTATTTTTCTTTTATTCTTGCCTTGAAAGTCAACTAATAAGAACTGTTGGCACATTTCGTGTGCTACCGAATTTGAACTTAAATGTACCGTATTCATACTGAGAAACATTTTTATGCCTCAAAGTGCAAAGGCAAGATGTGCTGCCTATAGCCAGATTGATTCAGTTTTGGTGCTGCACGTCAGCTCTATGGGCCCAGACCTTGCCCATTAGAATGGCCAAAGCAGAAGAAAGCATTTGATGGGAGTGCACAGCCAGTCTCAGTGTGCCAGGTCTTTGTTCTCCCCAACATTAACCACAACTGGGGTTACTGTCACCACAGTGATAAAGGTCTGAAAAGGCTGAAACTTGCCAGATGAAATCATGATAAAAGTAATAATTTGATTGATGGAAAAGTGGAAAATATGCTATTTTTTTTTCTTAAAGCCTTGGGAATTACTAAACTGGTGTGAGTAGGAAGCACTACCACCCAGCCTACATAAATACATTCTCCCTGTTGGAATTGGTAATTTTTATCAAGAATTATTATAAGTTATTTTCAGCATATCCAGAGTTTAGATTATGTGAATAATGCAATCTAACAGGTATTTTTAACAAAACCAACAAAAATAAAAATTTTAAAAATTATCTGGTAAACAAAGTGTCTCAATACTACACTACCAAATCCCCTCCAAACCATGACAATTCTGTATGTAAAATCAAGACATTCTCACCAAGTTTATAAGGATGTTTTCTAAACATTAGCAATGCCTAAATGCCCTACAAATCACCAGTTCTTAATTATGTTTTTTGTAAATGAGACTGACTTTGAGTATTATGATTCATATTTATATACTTTGAGAATTAAAAGTGAAGGAGATATGTAAGGCAACCATAAATGTAGAGAACAAATGTATCTATTAGTAACATTTTCCCATGTGTTAACTGCAGCAAAAATGTGGAATTTTTACATTTCTTTTACATTTCTTAGCAAATCTGCTTGGGAAAATCTAGTCCTATGTTTTGAGAATTGAAAAAGAAAAATGTATCACTCCACTTAAAATTCCAGCCTATAAAGGCAGAAACCTTTCATAATAATATGTTTGGCAGTACCTAGACAAAGGCAAGTAACAACTGGATATAATAAAAAGTTATAAAAGAACAGGCTAAAGAAAATAGTATTTCAATATGAAAAAGTATAAAAAGACATGGAGAATATAGCTTTGGACAATAACCCTCAAAATACTTAACCAGAGGCCTTCTCTTAAAGCTAAAAGTAAGCTGTAGGAAAAAAGATTGCAAGGCAGGGATAAATAACAGAATCATTCAGATCAAGAGGTTATTTGTCCAGTGTCTACTCTGGTCAGGGTGCTGTGTTAGCAGCCAAACACAAGGACACTGAGGATTATTTATATAAAGTTGTTAGTAGGTATGTGCCATGATGGCTTTATTAAGGGAAAAATTGGCATTTGTATGAATCTCTAGAACATTGTCATGGAGACAATCACTATGTTAATTGACTTGTTATTTTGTCAGTTGGACTTCACTTTCCAATAAGGGAGAGGACTGGACTGATTGTTCAGATTCTTTCCAGCTCTAGTTTTATGAGTTACCTTACAAAATATCCTTTAGTGCCAATTTTTGTGTGATAGTTCCATGCCAATAATACTTCATATATTCTTACAAACCAAGAATTTGAATTTTGAGGACTGAGAAAACCAACTGCTTCATCTTTCTTTATTTTCATGTCTCTACCCTTCACCATCAGCCGGGAAGATGGAAACACAGGAAACCCTGCAATTAATCTTTTAGTTGCTTTTAAAACACCAAAGAGGGTGGTGAAGACTAGTGGGAATGCTGCTCTGGAAGCTCCATGGGGTACTACCCCTAAAGCAGTGGTGTGAGTGTGAAGAGAAGCAGACAGTTCTCCAAAATGGACATTAGGATCCCGGTATGACTTCAAGCAGATGTAGCTCTAATCCTCCAAGGTACTGAGGATGTCGGGATAATCCTTGACTTATAGCTTACATGACCTTTATACAAAAACTGCAGGACTTGAGGGAGGAAGGTGTACTCAGTCAACAGTCTGGGACTATTTGTAAGTTACAGTAAAACCAGAGAGAGAGGGATAGTTCCCTGACACACACCTCCTTTCTCTCAGTAACATAAAAATGTACTTTAAAATTTTTAAAAACATGTACAAGCTACAAAATATAGCTTTTCTCATGTGGTATTTGTGGCTTGACTATGATTTTAGTTTCTTTTCTAGTTGTACTTAATGTCAGATGTAATGGATGAATTCCAACTGCACTGAGCAAGGAATTCCAGCATCCTCTTCCTGTTCACTCCTTTGTTCTGCCTCAGTTCTAGTCGTGGACCCTGTCCAGCAACATGGGGACCTAAGCCTTAAACACCGTTACTTGCCTCCATGTGCTGTAGGATGGCCAACTTAGAGGTATTCCCCTGGTTCCAGGAAAGCAGATTTGCATTCATCTCTCAATAGGAGCCTGTTGGGCTTAAGGGTTTTAAAGAATGGGGTGAGAGAAGGGAATAACGAGAACTCCTCTGGCCCTCAGCCAGTGTGCATTTAATCTTCGTGTCCACTTGCCAAAAGAATCTGAAAACTTTGCCACCTTCAAGAGATAAGTCAGAATCGATGTTTTAGCCAGAGGTAACAGAGGAGTGTTGCTCTTTGCCCTCCTTTTTTGTAATGTCCATAGTGAATTTCAATGTGCCAGGGTGGATGAACCCAGGATCCAGTGAATAATTCAGCCCCTTCAACCTTATACTTTCCTTCTTCATCCATCCTCAATCAGTGTGACTTCTTGCATTGTTGTGGTTAATTTTATGTAAAACCAGTTTACTTTAAAAAACGTGCCTATGTAATAAAGTCTACACACTGGCCATCTCTGTAGAGGTGAGGTTTTATTTTAGTTCTGCTTATTACAATCTGTAATGCCTTTTTTTGAGCTTTGAAAATGAACTGTTAATAAAAGTTTTTAAACAAAGTGTCTCACTGTGCAATGTTTAATGAGGATTGGCATAAGGAAGAGTAAATGTTTATTAATAAGGCCCATCACCTAATTCAGATGGTTAGTAGTTATCAGCCAATAAGTTAGCAAGGGGCCCATTAATTATTCTCATCCAATTTTTCATGTATATAATTTACGATATATTTATCGAATTCCTATTTTGTGCCCAATACTGTGAGAAAACAAATGAAAATTATATAACCCTTAAGAAGTACATACATAATAAGAAATGTAAAGGGGCACATAAATAATAAATTCACATTATGTTCCTGGAATATTGTCAGTGCTCAAAAAGTAATTTTCAGTTGAGATGAATTCTAATTACAAATGTCAACATAAACTCAAAAGGAAGACAACTGGTATAGACTAGAATATTTAAAATTTTCACAGGAAGGATAGCTTTTAGGTGAGACCTGAAGTGAAGTAGACGTTTGGCTCAGTGGCAAGAGGAAGGGAACCTAGGGGTGGCAAGAGGCAGGAACAAAAATGGTATGTTGGGTTAGCAGATCAGCTTGATCTGAGTGATGGTTAGGCTGAGCCATAGTAGTAGAGCCTGCCTCCAGCCCCAGATTGGACTCAATATAGTAAAAGCTATGAAGCCATTTTGGAGTCCCGCCAATTGAAGCATCATTCTAGAAAGACAAGTTTTTCAACAACAACCAGTAAACAACATGCTAGGTATTTTGGACTATGGGAAATATTAAAAGCAAGGAAAAAAAAGGGTTTTTTTTTTTGTTTGTTGTTTGGGAGTGAAAGCAAAAAATAAACTGAGCTTTGTGTTTAATTCACATTGACAAAGGACATTTTATTGCAAAGTGAAAGCACCTACTAGAGGAGAACTCACACCAGTTCAGTGGCCCTCTGCTGTCTACAGATCTCTGTCCTGAACAAAACACAGAACTGTATAGCCTAATCAGTATAAAATTGGAGCTAGAAACTGATATCAGGTGCACGGAAGGGTAAACAGTCAAAGATCATAACTTTTGCTTAAGTTGGGAATCTGTCAAAAATATTCTACTTATTCTACTGTCCCCTGAACAAGTTTGGAGAACTCCTTATCTAGGTTCCACACCATCATAAGAATTAGCTTTGTGGGGCTGCCCTTTCCTTTAACATTCTGATAGAATACTCAAGTAACAAGCCAAACATGCTCACCAGATTTGGGTAGAAAGAACTGAGAATGAGAGGAAGTGAAGATGACATGTAATTGTCTTTAGGGTCATCTGCCATTCTTGTTGCAAACTCCTCCCAGTTCCTTCATCACCTCGGTCTAACACCTCTCTGTTTCAACTTTCTCTCTTTCCAAGACACAATATTAGCTAAAACTCTTGTAATGCTTGTACTCTGGTGTAACCACTGGTACAGGATTTTATGTGTATTATTTAACAAAAGTATCCCCCTCTCTCCATTCCTCAAGGCACTAATAATTCCAGGCGGGTGGATATAACAGATGTTTACCAAATATTAGCCATTGATGATTATCTATAGTATAAAAATAGCAAAGAACTTACAACTGAATATCAGACATTCCTGCTCCATTGGCCAAGCCCACAGAGGGAATTCCTTATTAAACATCTTTCTCCTTTGCCCCTAACATGCATAGATAGGCTAACTCCTCAAGTCCCCAAACTACTGTCTGAGGAAAACTGGAAACTCTTCTTAAAAGTCCTTCTTTAATGGGAATTAAGTTCTAATCTTCAAAATCATGTAAATAGCCTAAAATAAAGTAGAACTAAGGATCAGTCTTTTTTGATGATAGTTGCTCTATGACCCTCAATGAATTTTTCGATTTCTTCCATGAGGATTCTAAAAGAGTCATCACCAACCAAGATCCTAAGCCATCTGAACAGTGTGTTCCAGTCATGGTTAGTGTGAGGAAGTCATTAAAATGAGTCGTATAATTCTTCCCTCAGTTTTACCAACATGAATCAAGTGTTTCAGACTTGACAGCATTTTCATCTCCTTCAGAGTGTGATGGCAGACCAAATAAATTGAAGTGGAAGTAAAATGAGTCTCCACTCTACCTCACCTTATTATGCAAAGCAGTTTTAGCTCCTTTCCATCTCATCCTGTCATAGACTGACCCAATTGAAGTATCTTCCCCCCCCCCAAAAAAAAAGTCTATATTAGATCTCCACAAAAGAACTAACAACAAAAAAATAATTTTTTCCCTTTAGAGGTCTCAAAAGCTACAGATAAAATTTTCATAAAAACTAAGGTAAAAAATACCTGTACTACTTTTCTCCCATAACAGAGTCCAGGTCAACATATAGGAACAGGGTAGAATCTATTCACTATTCATCTGGAGCAAACCACAATGGTCAGGGAATTCAGCCCCCATCCCCTTCTCCTCCCTTCTTCTCTCCCCTCTTTTTTCTCTCTTCTGTCTTTTATTTCTCACTAACCAAGAATAAAGTCCTGGACTGGGGATGTGGCTCAAGCGGTAGTGCGCTTGCCTGGCATGCGTGCGGCCCGGGTTCTATCCTAAGCACCACATACAAACAAAGATGTTGTGTCCGCCAAAAACTAAAAAATCAATATTAAAATTCTCTCTCTCTCGCTCTCGCTCTTGCTCTCGCTCTCTCTCTCTAAAAAAAAAAAAAAAAGAATAAAGTCCTGCTTAATCTAATGATAGTACCAGGAAAAAGGAACATATCTTAGAGATCTGAAATAGTCTTCAGTTATTTCTGTCCACATTGACCTCTTTTCGTCCAAACTCCTATTTTGTATCGTGTCTACTGTTAGGTCCCTAGACAATAGTAACTCCATTTTGGTTCTGGGACTCAGACCCAAAACTTATAAAGTGCCAAGAAAAAGAAACTTAAGATACTCTGTTCCCAACCCCCCCACCCCACCCAAGGTCTCTACGTAGAAAAATTTGTTGTTACCCAGCCACCTACACCCAAGGTCAATTCTAGCCTGCTCCACCCAAGGTCATTTCCAGCTTGCTCTTGTTCCTTGTTAAAAAGGAAAAAAAAAAACAAAAAAACAAAACTCTATAAGTGACTCTGCCTGCTTTGTCTTGCAGAGGGGCAGCCTGGCAGACACTCTCTGTCAATAAACCTTGATCTCAGAAATGGATATTTGTGCCAGCTACCCTAACATCAACATCCACTGACTCCCCCCCCCCCCCCCCCCCCCCCCCCCCCGCTGGGGATTGAACTCAGGCTTGCTAGGTAAGTGCTCTATCACTGTACCACTGAGCTACATCCCCCACCATTATATGCTGCCTTTTAATGTTTTGTATTTATTAGTTTGCCATACTCATTAAAAAGCAACAGTCAAGAGAATTGGCTTTCTTAGTATATGACAAAACTCACCAAAAATAATAATGACTCAGCAGAAACAAATCAACATGCAATTGAAAATGACCAAAATTTACTCTGAATTCAAATATTACTTTTTTGTAATATCCCTTGAAATCAATCCCTCTTCTATCAAGGAAATTCTGCAGTCTGTGACGTCTTCTTTCTACTATTGCTTTTCTCTCTTTGCAACTCTGAAGTTATTGTCATCAGTAATGCTGCAAGCATGTTTAATTCTCCTGATGCCAGGCAGTAAAAAATCTAACCCCTTTAACTCATTTAATACACTTTGATAAAGATACTGAGAAAAACTGAAATTTTTTTCCTCTCCTGTTCTGTCAGCATAATACTCCTGACACCAACTCTAGAAACAGGAAAAAGTCAAAAGCAAAGTATTTTTATCTACTGTCTATTTTTATATAGTCATTCAACATTTTGGACAGGAGATGTGTGAGAGTTTTTTCCCATGTGTTATGCAATTCTGCAGAATCCTCTAATCCAACTCAATTTTGATACTATCTGGAGATAACACCAGATCCCACTGAACCTGGTTGAGTTGATCCTATAAATAAATAGTCTACTAGAAACCCAGTGTTTAAATTTTTTTGATTTTTTTGGGGGGAGGGGGCTGCTAAAATACCAAATACAAACAAATACAAAACGGTAACCCAGTATTTTTTGATTTTAAAATTATGAACTTAGGGCTGGGAATGTAGTTCAATAGTAGAGCATGTGGCTAGAACATGCAAAGCCCCAGTACTGAAAAAAAAAAAAAAAAAAAAAAAATATATATATATATATATATATATATATGAATTTAAGGAGTTCCCAAGGTATCAGTCTGTGCTCAGTTTGGGAAAAGCTAACATGAAAATATAGATGATTTATCAAGAAAAACATTAAAAATAATAAAAATCTGTATAACTAAGGAAAAATAAGAGCAAACCCAGGACATTTCACAAAGGTAAACATTCACTTCTAATGAATGAGATTACATTTTTCTATTAGGTCTTTGAGCCCTTTTCTTAAAATTTCCAGTGATAAGATTCCTATGTGCAGCTGGACTACACTTCATTTGGGGAATGTTCTCTGTGGCAAGTCAGCACAGTCAAATGGAGCATGGAGTGTGGAAGGCAAGGTTTTTCCCACCTCCCAAACCCAACCTCTTTATGCCCTGAAACGTTCTTTTTATAAACTGGTGCTTCAATAATGGCAACACCAATTCATTTTCCCAGCAATGTGCTGCCCCTACACAATTCTCTAGTCTTCAGGATACCAAATCAATATATGAAAACCAGTAACTTTCCCAAACACCAATAATAAATCTGCTGAGAAAAAAAAATCAGGAAATCAATCCTATTCATAATAGCCTCAAAAATTAAACAAAATACCTAGAAATAAATGTAACTAGGAGGTGAAAGACTTCTACAATGAAAATTATGGAACACTGAAGAAAGAAATTGAGGAAGTTACTAGAAGATGGCAATACCTCCTATGTTCATGGATAGGCAGAATTAATTGTTAAACTGGCCATATCACCAAAAGCAATCTGCAGATTCAAAACACTCACCATCGAAATACCAATAACATTCTTCACAGAACTGAGAAAAAAAAAGTCCTGAAATTCATTTGAAAGAATAATAACAATAAAAAAAACCAGAACAGCCAAAG